GGGGGGGGGGGGGGGGGCTACAGTCAACAGGATTACCGGCAGTTTACAGCTCCGGAGATCACCTCTCTTCACAGTTTGTAGTGGCTCTGAGTGCTTCCCACATCTGCACAGTAGTACAGTGAGTCATTTAGTGTTAGATTATGATGGTGTTGCCAGGGTGATGGCTGATGGGACCTATACGATGATAGTACACTAAGAGGATTATACGTTGGTTTGCTTTAGCAGTACATCAAGGGCATTCATGTCACTGAGCTGAACATGGCATCAACAGCTGGGCTCAACTATGTTCCATAAAGCCACAGGCAGTTCAGGTGTTGCTCCACAAGACATTTCAGTCTGTTAAATACAAAATAACGTGAAGCTCAAGAGCGTCTGGGCCTGCTTTGCTTTCCCTCCGTGTCACATCACCCCTCCCCCTGTGTCCCAGCATGGGTGTGTGGTGTTTATGCCATTGTACACTATGATGTATTGTTAATGGCCGAGGGAGCTGCAGTAGGAAGGACAGCAGAAGGGAAGGGTGGTGGGGCTTTTTAGAGGAAGCGAAGGGAGGGACGGACGTCCTGACCTGTTGGGCCTTCTGTCAGTCAGTTTGCATCCTCCAGAGCTAACCCCAAGGCTGCTATTTTAAATCTTCCCCCCTCATCCAGCCCAGCAGCTGGACCCAGGCTATTTATAGTACCACCACTGCCCTGAGAGCAGCAGGGCTGGAGAGTAGGAGGAGGAGCTCAGTTTGTGGAAGTATAAACTCCGACTTGTACACAGCACAACAAAAACATTAGCATCAGATGGGTGGTAATGTATAATGTGTGTTTGTGTGTGAGTACTGTGTTTATGCTTGTGTATTTATGTATGAACAGGAGGCTGTGTGTGTTTATTGGCCGAGTTGCCTGACTGGAAGACTGGAAGTTGGACATAAAGTTAAAAAAAAAATCGAAATACTTGACCCTGACTTCTGACCTAATGATCTAAAATAACACCCCTATTAAGTCCGTCGCTTCCTGTTTTGCAAGTCATATGTAACACGAGCATCCTTAACGTTTCCCCGCAGCACTGTAACAAATTACTCAGAGAGATATTTTACAGCAGAGCACACACACAAGTCACAGCTCTCTGTTAGTTTTGAATTCTTAATAGGAGCTGAAAACACTGTTAACACTACAATTGTATCACTGTAATTATTTCACTTGCGTGTGCTGAATACTAGGATGCAGCAAGTGCAGCGATTTAGAATATTTATTTTATACATGTATTATTGAACAGTTTTGTCAACCTAGCCTAGAGAAGCTTAAGCTATTTAAATTTGGAGACACTAGCTTGCACATACAGTATACTGTTCATATCTTATGTGTGTGTGTTCATTTTCATGAAACTAATTTGTCAGGGGAGACGCCGAATTAGTGATTACAGAGCAGAGATGTGACTAGAGAAAGCCATTTCCTTGCATGATTTAGAACAGACTCTGGTTGTGGCTCTGTGGTTTTTTGGGGTCTGAACAATCCCCCTTTGTCCCACACCGGGTACAAGTACCCTCTGTTACTGCTGCCTCACTGATCTTCACAGCCGAGCACCCAGTCTGACTGTGCTGCTCTCACAGTGCCACAGCCCCTTCTCCCTGGCAGCAGTGCCAGCTGAAGCATAGCCTTGTTTAACTAGATGTTTTCATTAATCAAACAGCTCATGATCGTGTGACACAGAGAGTGCTGTCATTCTTCCTCATCAGTTTTTTGTGTGCGTGTAACCTCATTGAATTTCTGTTCTCTCTCTTCCTGTCAATCGCTGCAGATGATACCATGTCTGGCCTGTTTAGGAAGCCCATGAATGATGACGGAGATGTCTACACCTCCCTGCTGTCTAATCAGAGCTTCACATCGGGTCGAGAAGCCTCCTACCTGTCGGACGACCTGAAACCATCCAAGCCCTCCTCTGCCTCCTCTGCCCTGGATCAGTTCTCCAGCGACACATATAGTTTCAGCTCCAACACCAAGATGACTTCCGACTTGGCTGATGACATGCCAAAATCTCTGTTCAGCTCAGATAAGACAGAATCCTACAACTACATGGACATCAGCCACGGGGATGAGCGCCATGACCAGCGACAGGGGGCTCTGCACAGCCTGGTGGACACAGGCTCAAGTGGTCATGACTCATTGGGCAGCTACATAGATAAAAGCCCTGGGCGAGATGAGGATGACGAGGAGGAAGATGAAAACCTAGGTTCAGCACTCGGCTCCCACTCTTTCCCCTATGTGGAGGAGCCGTCTGATGAAGAGCTGACAGACTACCGCTCCTATCGAAACCTTGGTGGCACCCCGCAGACGGCCAGCCCAGTGAAGATCACCTTGACCGAGTCCCAGCCTCCACCTGCCAAGACCGAGCCGCAGCAACAAGCCCCTCCAGTCAGTGTGTCTGAGCGTGAAAACGTCCTCAGTGTGGGCTTACAGGGGGTTCCCACTGTGACGCTATCAGAGCCAGAGGACGACAGCCCAGCTTCCACTCCCAATGCTTCACCAACACGTAAGCACAGCACACACACACACAAACACCTGTCACAAATATAGAAATGGGTAAAGTTGATAAAATCATGGTATAATTTCATATATCAGAATATATTGTAGTAGTTTCTGAAGGATCAATTCAGAAACTCAAAAATATCTGAGAAAGCAAAAAATTATACCAAAACACGTGTATGGTCCACCACCCCTATGTCAGGTATAGTTCATGTAGATGATGCCATAATGAATGTCAGCACTTGTAGAGAAGTAGTGGCAGTAATACAACAATAACTATCTCAAGTTTGTTAACATTAGCTAATATTAGCCACCACAAGCTACTCCACAATACCAGACCAAGTAAGGTTGTAAGAGGAAAACCCCTGAGTGAGTTTTATTGCTGATGAAGTCAACATTTCATTAGCAACAGGAGGATTTTGTTATTTATTCCTCCAAACGTCAGTCTAGCTTTAAGTTACACGTGCAGATACTGTATGTCTGGATTTGTAAAGTCAATGAAGGCTAATGGCGTCTTCTCTCTGCATTTCTTTGTGAGCAGAAAAAGAATTCCCTTCACATGACATGTTCAAGGCTGACGCAGTGAAGCCTGCAGCTTCCAAGAGCACTCCAAGCACACAGGCCGGCAGCAGGGAGCATGATGGCAGCAGCGCAGAGTCTGGAGACTCAGAGATCGAGCTGGTGTCTGAGGAGCCTCCAAAGGCCAGTAGCAACCCATTTGCCCAGCCGCCTAAAAGCAAGGGCACTTTCAGCCAGCCTAACAACCCCTTTGACAATCCCCCTGTCGCCAAGGGTGGTTTTGGCCTGGCTGGCAACCACGCTCCACCCACAGCCTACAGCATTCTGAGGGAGGAAAGGGAGGCAGAGCTTGACAGCGATCTCTTCATTGAGTCTGCGTCTGAAGAGAGCCCAAAGAGAGAGCAGGGCTTCAGTAGCCCCAAACCGGGAGCCAGTCCTCCCTCTCCTCTGGTTCCCAGTGCTGTCCCTCCCCGCAGTCCGGCTGAGGCGGTGCCAGCCGAGCCCTTGATCACAGAAAAGGTTAAGACCCCAGTGAAAACAGAGGAGGATCGCCCCACTAAGCCCAAGCCCCCCACTGCTGCCGTTCCCCCAGAGGTGCGATCAGAGAGGCCCCACCAGGATGACATGCACAAGCACACCAGTGAGGGCCAAGGAGACCTAGGAAAACCTGCTGTCTCAGTCTTCGTTGGCTTTAATAAACAAAAAGGTCAGTCTTAAATCTTGATTGTCTCTTTTACCCAGAATTTGGTGTTTTCACCTCAGCATTAAAGTGTAAGAATATATATTGTTGCTGCCTCTTTGTAGAAGTAATAGGATTTCACAAAACATGTCTGTAATCT